GAGTCCTTTAGTTGAGTGTATTAATTAATCAGTGTGGTTAACATCTGCCAGACCTCGTTTATCTGTTGCTGTTTTTGGGGAGCAAATTACACATGCAGTTTAACATTTGATAGGATTTTACATTTTTTGAGTGTTTTAAGCTTTATAGTGTTAATAGGTGAGGGTAAAAGCGCACCTGGAATTGTTACTGTAAGAGTTTGTTTATCAAACTTTATGTGAAGTCTTAAGATTTGGCATAAAAGCTTCCACAAATAGACGCAAAAGTTTTATGTTTTTATACTACTATGAAGTTAACTGACTTTATGTCAGGAATGGCTTGTTGAAATAGTACCTAATTAAATATTTGGTACTGTTTTCTAAATTTTTTTTTTTTGAGTGTTGGCTGGTTTAATGTAGGAGGCCAAATCTGGATTGGCTCTTGACTGTTCATAAAATGTGATATTCCTGCTTTTTATATGGTAACTTATTTGGCACATCTGTCCGTAAAACCAAAGGAACTCAAATTTATGATGAATAAACCATACATGTTACTAACTTTTGACTTGTGATCTATTTACGCTGTGCCTAAATATGCTTCTATTATATTAGATGCTTTCCTGTCTTCCTGTGACCTATGTGAAAATGCATGCAAAAAAAGCCCCAAACCTATCTTAAACTGTTAATGAACTTGTAAGCACAAGTTCTCAAAGTAGCAAACAGAGTGGAGTAATATATGAATGTTGTTATAAAATTACTGTAGACTAAATATGAACTTTTAAGGAAGCTATCTATAAGATATTGGTTCTATATAGAAAGTGTAAGCTATAAATGGAGAAACAGATGACACTTTTGCTTTGGTCTTTTTAGAGAAGAAATTCTTTGAAAATATCTCTGGAAGTGAGGCAGAATTAGTGAAAATAACTTCAGTGTCATTTCTAAATGCTGCCTGTTAAGCAGATGGTAAAACTGCTGAGGCATGTTATGCTGGCACCTTGCTGTTGAAGCAGCCAGCAGGGCTGAAGGTCCTGCAGAAACATATGTTGCTTAATAACCATTGATATAACAGTATGTACTTTCTCTAATTTGAAAATGCTGATAGGTTCTTATATCTCAGTATCATAGATAGTTGATCATAGATGCCAACTAAAAAGGAAGGCCTACATATCATTAAAAAAAGTCTCACCATCTACCTCCACCCCTTAAAAATAGAGGAGACTGGGACTTTCATGAATTCCATGCAACAAAGTATTTATTGCTTTGCAAAATAGAGAAAACATTACTGTTAGAATCCATGAATTTGGTAAGATCTTAACATAATTGAATTTTGATTTTTTTTGAAACTGTTATTTTCCAATGATGAATAGCATATGCTGGCAGTATTTTATGCAAGGAAAAAAGCTCACTCTTCTCGATTTAGAGTTCAAGAGAGCCAAATAATATACTCAGTGCAGCATGAAAAGAAAAATACTTCAAGTTGCTAGTGTAGCTTAGGAAAGTTGTTTTTCATTCTCATCAAGCTTGTAACTAATGTTGATATTTGGGTGTTTAAGCAAAAAGAATGTTGGTTTTATAAGGGATCTATTGAGCTCATGTTTTCTTAAGCAACGATAGTCGGATCACTGTTTGTTTTTTCAATTTGAATTGATACTTTATATTCCCTCCAATAAAAGCTGTATGCTTTCTCATTTTTCTGTACAGCTGTAGATTTCGGTGCGAAAACTGACTTAAGCACAACTAGCTGTCTGTTTAGTCAGAAAAAGACTGGGAATATACTTAGGTTCTAATTCATGCACCTAACACCAACAAAAATTAGTCAACAAAGTTGGTAGGGAAAATAACTGTTATTTCAACACCCTGGTCTTACACAAGAGCTGTTTCAAAAGGCACTGTGGTGAATCCAGCAATTAAGAAAGGTATTAAATTCAGTTAACTGTCTTCAAACCTGACAAATTACAGGTAATGTTCTCAGTACTGCTCTTAAGTGTCTGACTCAGATAAGCGTGTCTGTTTAAAATCTACTTCTACCCAATTTCTGATGGGAATTGCAGACAAAAAAAATCCAAAATCTTAACTGTTAAGGCTTATTAAATATATATTCATAAAATAGATTAAAATTAGATTTTTTAAAATTAGATTTAAAATTAAATAATTTAAAATTAGATTTAATTTAATTAAAATTAAAATCCAGAAAAGGACTGAATTACTTTCTTCTGGTGCTTTTCCTCTTTGAGCACTCACTTTGGCATTGCACTGGAGTTCTTTACATGTATTGTATACACCATCTGTCTGTCCTCACATGTTTTTAATAACTTTCTATAGACTAAGCCAATGAATCACTAAAATAAAAGGCCTCTTTGTTAGTGTCCTATATCATTAATTGACGTTTATGCACTTATGGTTTGGCAAGCAGAAAGTTTGAGTTCTCTGGCTGTTAAGAAATAAGAAGTTGACAAGAACAACTGACCCACTTGTCTGTCTTAAAAAAACTGGGATGCCTGCTCTCATGAAATGGAGATGCAAGCAGTTTCAACTCCATTGACATTTAATTGTTAATGTGTGCGATGTCTGTTTCAAAGCTTCTTTGGCACTTCTTTGAAGGCAGTTAGTCAGCTTGTCATAGTGAGGCACATTGCTAAAGAGCATAATCTATGTATTAGTTGTTTGGAGGTCAACAGAAATCTCCACTGGAGGATTTTACTCTCTGGCTGGAGGAGAAAGTACTGTTAAAGGTTGGTTATCCAGGCTAGCTCTGCTAAATATAGCAGGAGGGACAGCAAAATAATGAAGTGAATAACAGGAGCCCGTACTAAAATAATGCTGGTAACAAACACAATGTACTGAGGTTTTCTAAAATACAGCAGACTTTTGTCCTACATTCCAGTAATTTATTTGAAAGGCATGTTCCACTAGAAGATTGCCAAGAACTTTACAAATACTAAGCCTTTTAACATGTCTAAGGTATGTGCCGTACCATTTTAAAAAAACCTCATAGGCAAAAATGATAGCTATGTTTTTCCAGAAGCTTGTGGTCTATAATAATACGGAAAGTTTTCCCTCAGTAGTTCAGGGAAGCTTCAACACTCTTCAGGTATGAAAACCTATTGTAGCTTTCTATCTTAAATGAGTTTGTGAACTAAAAAGCTGGGTGTTTTGTTTTTCTTTCCACCTCCTGCCCCCTTTCAAATCTGAATAGAAGACATACACACTACGAATTAAATGTGAAGTTTTGTATCTCTAGGTTTCTAGCATGTTATCGTCTGTCACAAGCTCTGCAGTCTAGTTGTGCTTTTCAGAGGTGCAAAAATTAGAGCTTATATAAATATATGATTTAAGGATGAAATGGACAAACTTAGGACAATGGAGCTGAAGAAAAAAGGTACCATAATTATTAAGGAAGAAAGAACTGATTTAAAAAATACCTGTAGCCTTTAATGTCAGAACTGTTTGAATGGAGAATGCTGTTGATGGAACAAAAACCTGAGTAGAATTGGACTGGAGTTTTAACAGTGTAAAACATTGGCATGGAAAATTAAAAATATAGTCATGCTAGAAGAAAGGTGAAGCATGTGGCTTTGCCCTGAGGTGAAGGGAATAGATGTCAGCATGATGCAGAGCCTCATAGTTTTGTGGAAGAAGGACGTCAAAATCCTTGGGTGATGAATTTCAATAAAAGCTTGTGGTATACCAACAGATTTAGGAAAGAATAGGCACAAAATCTTCCATTAGCTGGAAAACTCAGGAAGACTAGAAATCTAGAAGCTGTAGAGGCTGCACTGTTGAAGACTTTCACAGTTCCTTACTGTCTATGCATAGTCTTGTTATAAAGTAGCTATTTGAAAAATGCCATAGGCTTATATGTACCTTTTAAAAAAATTTCATGCCCTCTTGATTTTAGCACACAGGCAGTGATATGTCTTCATGTTAAATGACCCACATAATGCATTTTCCTGCTTTTTTTGGGGAAAGCAAAGGCTTTCAAATCACAGTAATCCAGTAAGAAGTCAGGTACTTTGGTGGTGGTTACTATTGGCAAATATTGAAATTACCTATGTAAACTACTCAAATCTTAATTTCTTTGGCAGGCAAAAATCAATGGTCAAAAGTAAACTGTACAATGATACCATGTACTGACAGTCCCTCCCCTGGTACAGCATAGGCTGGAGGGAATCCAGCTGCAAACTTGCTGCATTCATAGTCTGGCCATAGTTGGACAGTCAAGACATCCAAGTCAGGACAGAATCTTTCAGATTTAAGTTGTTAAAACTAAACTCCGCAACATGTGTAGGCAAATGGTATTTTTCATAGACAGAATGAATTTTAGCACATTTTCAGATGTTAACAGGAATGTTGGGCAGGGTGTAGGAGAGATGCCAAATTTGAAGTTCCTGCTGCCAGGCTTCAGACCACTGGAATTGCTGGAACTTCCAAAGCACTTATCACAGATGAAACTTATTTTTACTTCATCTTATTTTTGATAGTAGCTGTATTATTTTGAAAAGAAAAAAATGCCTGTTGTAAACAGCTGCCTAAGCTTATAGAAATTGTCAGGTGCTCCTATGAGGAAGGTCTTCAGTTCTGTGTTAATCTGTGATAAATGTTTAGTTGCTTAAGCAGATACCAAGGTGGTTATTTTAATGCAACAACTAAGGGAAAAAGTGTCTTTATTCTTTGCCTTTAAGACTATCTTTCTACTGGAGATGCTAACAATCTCAGTCCTGATGCTGGACAACTCTCTCCTGTTTGTTAGCATTAGTTTATATGATTTAAAAAACAATCTAAATCTCCATGCCCAGCTCCCTCAAACGTCATTTATTTTGAGGAAGACAGAACTGTCCCAGGCTCTGAGTGTTGGATCGATCAGAACTTGTTCTATACAGAACAAGTTTTATTGTCTATAATTTAAAAGTGTCTTCAGATTTTTAGAAAGCATTACTATGCTATCTGGATTTTGGAACAATGTTTTTAAAACACTTTGCAACTTTAAACTTTCTGTCTTTTCTGTTTGTTTTTATTTTCTGTAGACTCGAGATGATTTTCTTGGGCAAGTGGATATCCCTCTTTATCAGTTACCGGTTTGTATTTTTTGTTTGCTTTTGTTTTAAGACTGTGAAAGGGAAAAATGGTTCTGTATGCAACTGTATTAGTTATCTAAGGAAGTTAACTGTACTGATAATACAAGTGATTGAATTCCTCTGCTCTGTGTTTTTTTTGTTTTGTTTTCTTTTGTAGATTTGTTAGGAGTTTTTTTTTTAGTTCTGATATTTATTAAAAAAAAAGTAGGTTACCTCGTGTTTAGATATTGGTTTCTGCTGCTGTGAGGGTTAGGAGTGCTTTTAGCTTTTTCAAGAACAAAAATTCAAGGTTTGAAACAGTCTCAAAGACAAAAAGGGATTGTAATTATTGTAATACTTCTTAAAATATTTTCTTTAAAGTCTACAAACTTACAGTTACTATTGCTTATAGCCATAAGCAGATACAGAAGAGGGTAAGTGTGGAAACAGAGCTAGTGTTGCTTTGTCCTTTTTAGTTTTTAGTTTTTGTTTTGTAGTCCTTTTGCAAAGCACATTGTTAGTTTTAAAAAAGCTCATCAAGAACATTGAAATAAGTAAGCCATTTCATTTTCTTCTGAGGTCTCAAAACATTAGCAAATACTAACAGGTTTATCAGCAACTATTTTAAAGACAGGATGACAACCATGGCAAAACCTTTCCAAGAACAGTTGTTCTTTCATTCTGGTAAGGACTATGTGAGGAGTAGTTACAGATATGTCCTCTTTCCCACTGTAACAGGGATGTGAGATCACACTAACCCCTGTCCCTCGGTCAGCTGGGTTGGAAAGACTGGCTGTAATGTTCCTCTGGAGAAGACTGACTGTGTTTTCACTTCCCACTAATAAACTGGACAGCAGTATCTGGAGTCTTTGGAGATATTGGTGCATTTCCTTTCTTCTTCTTTTTTTTTTTTTTTTTTTGTTAGCATGAACTAATTTACAGAGCCTCACTTGAGTATTTTCATGGCTATTTTCTTAACCTTCCTGAAACGCTGACTTTTCTCTGCCTCCTCTTTGTTTCTGTTTTCCTGGCTCCTTGTTCGTAATCACTTGGTCTTGCCCCAAATATAGGTGGATTTTTTTGAAAGGCTTTCATTTACATAAGTAAATATATCTTGGATAAATAAAATCAGTTTATAAATTCTTTATTCTATATTATTATTATAAATTCTTTATTACATGCAGATTTCGTTTTGCTTGATACTATGCAAATGCAAACTCTTTGTAACTAAAATGAGCTAGTAATCAGGGACATGTAAAAAAGGCAAATCATCTGAAGGGTAAGATAGTTGGCAGATATGAATTTGCTCTGTCCAAAACCAAAATGTATTAATCCAAGTGTAATCTAGCATTGAATCTAAGGCAACTCTTGTTTTTGGAAAGTCAGAAAAATAATTATAAAACTTAGATTAAGAAGGTAATCTTTTTCTCTCATCTGTGATGTATTTTCACAGTGTCTTAGCGTGTGTGTTGGTAGAAATAATGTAATGTTGGGGGGGGGGACGACCCCCCCCAAAAACACAAAACCAAAACAAAAGCTTAATTCTGTTTTAATTTCAAAGAAGTATTTATCTTAGTTATGAGACAATTCCTTTTATAGGTATAGAACCTGATCTTGCAGATAACGTCAGTGTAACACATGTATCATTACAGGATTGAAGATCTGCATTTTAATTCAGTGAAGATGGAACACTTCAACTTGAGTGTAGAATTTCTAAATTGTATGAATAAGAGCTTACACTGAAATGTCTGAAATATACGAGAATATTTTTCTTACTGAGATTTGGTGTAAAAGTTACTATAGTACAATTTAGTCAGCTTAATTTTATGACTTTTTCATAACAAAGGTCAACAGTTAAGAATAAAATTCTCAAGTCTCTAACTTACTAACCTTTAGATTCTGGATTTGTTTTTTGTTTCTTTCCAATCAAATGATGACACACATTAGATATTTTTTGAAAATACTATTATGGAATTAGCTCAACCTTTGAGGATTGCATCATGTACCATTGTCCTTAATTAAAAGACCTACAAATATAACAATTGCGAGTTTTTCCTCATATTATACAGTACTTCTTGAAACTGTTAAAATGTATTGATTAGTGAGAGCCTAGAGTTACTCTCCAGAATTTACAAACAGCTGAAAAAGGGGGGGAAAAAAGGGTTCAGAGATTTACAAATGTTCGTGAACATATGGTATTGTAAAAATCAAACATTTTTGTAAGAGTTGCAGAACTTTAGGTGGATTGTAAATATTTGTTAAGCAGAAAAATAAATATCTTCATTTTCTGTAATGATCCCTCATACATCCCATCTCCCATATTTCTCTACCTGTACCAGGGTTATATATTTATAAAGTGATGTCTGTTTACCTCTGCTTCTTTCTGTTGAGCAACTTCACTTCTGTGAATCGAAACAGAGATGTTCTCAGAATGGATTCTTCTGTGACTACTTTTTATCCCCAAGTCCTAAAGCTAGAAATGGCTTTTTATGTATGTTGTGTAAAAAAAAAACCAAAAAACAAAAAACACAAACCAAACACCACACAAAAAAAGCCTAAAAAACCCACAACCAAAAAACTGAGGGAGGAAAAGAGTTATGGTAGATCTTATAAATGTAAAAATTGAGAATCTGTTTCTTGATTTCACGCTAAACAGTTTGGTGTGTGATTTTTCCTGTGCTTTGGAAACTGATATATATGTATACACTGAAAGGGGTTTTTTTTTTTTGAACCAGGGAATTAATCTTATTACTAAAATTAAATCTGGTATTACTATTACTGTACTTAAACCTGTCATTTAAATTTTAAAACATTACATGGCCTATAAAGAAACTCATTGTAGATTTCTGATAATTTTCTTCAAGTGTTTGATCAGATTTTTCTTGAAAAAACTTGTCTTATTCCAGACAGAAAATCCAAGTATGGAGAGACCATATACATTTAAGGATTTTGTTCTTCATCCAAGAAGGTTAGTAACTACCACATAAAAATTCTAACTTTCATATCTAAACAATGCTGTTATGTAATTACTTGTACATTTGTAAATACGATCTAAATTTTTATGTTTTCATAAAAGAAATTTGAGTATCAATGGAGTAAGACATTTGTGGTTCTACTAAAAAGTCAACGTTTGTTTAAATACTTACAGATTATTTGGTAAGAATAAACCATTTTAATTTAGGCCATTATATAATTCACATTATAACTTCATCTGAACAATTCACTGTTCTACTGAACAGTGAAATCTGTGACCAATGTTATGCCTTAACTCGTTTATCACTTTTCAACTTGAAATTGTTTCCTGCCTTCCTGTCTCTCTTGTTTGCCTGTTTCATGTAAGTAGTTTCATGTGACCTTAATTATAAACATACAAAACTTAAACTGAAAAGCTGCTTAGCGTTTAGGAAGGCCTGTGTTAAAAAAAACAAGGAATGTTTAAATGGTGGGTAACACTTCGATGCTGATATTATTGTTAATGTGTTTCATGTTTGGTTTTAACATGTAGTTGCTTAACCTAAATCTGAGCAGTTTTTAGCAACTTTTATTCGAAATAAAGTACATAAAATGCATTTCAACATTTTTCAAATAATAGGTTCCAATTTAGAAATAACATCAGAACATGTGGGATCTGTAGATCTTTCTCAGCCATGTTGGTAGCAGAAATACTTTTAATGTATTTTACACATCTTTATTTTTAGCAGATTGGTTTTAACAGTTAGTGACTGTCAGGTTTCATTTTGATCTCCTATTTTTCTGAATTTAACATTTCCTATCCTATAAATGAGTGAAGAACAGTATTTATTGTCTCTATATAAATTAACTTCAATTGTTGTATGTTAATCAAGGATCTGACCTCTTCTGGTAGTGACTACCACATGAATTTGGCAGTGCTTTGTAGTAGGAGATACTGCCACATGTTCAGGCACTTTTCTGCCTTATTGTAACTTTTTTGATGCTTTAGTACTGTTAATGCCGGTTCTTCAATTTTGCTCATATTTGCATTTATTTAGACAGGAATATTAATAATATGGTTACTACCTTCCCAATACCTCAAGCTGAATAACAATTATTAATATGTTAATACTCTGAAATGAATTACTTTAACTATCATGTTGGAAAGTAAGATAGTAGGTTACTTCCTCTCGCAAAGGTATGTGGGCTTTTCTGAAACCAAAAATACGACCTGAGTGAACATGTTTATAATCCAATGTGAAATGTTTTTGCTGGATGTCAGAAAATTAATTCACTTTTTCTGCATGGCAAAAAAAAAAAGGCATTAGACCTTTAGTGACATGGGGTTTTGTTCTTTTACCTTTATATTAATAAGATGATGTGCAGGTATTCAGTTGACCCACTAGTGACATTTTCAGGACTTTTATTTTCTTTTTTTTATTCCAATAGTCAAACATGAGATAATTTGGCAGGTTTCTTTACCAAGTGAAAATACTAAACGAGATCAATATGGGGAAAGCCTACTTTCAGGCTTCTAATGATGCTTTATGCTAAATAGAGAGGCAAATGCGGAAGTATATGAGCTTGCTGTAACTTAAAGTTTTAGAAAAAGTAGTCCTGTGGGTTGAAATAATGCTTGATAGATTGTCTGCACTTAGTCAAGTTATAATTACATGAACTAAATTGTCATTATTCTTATTTTCTTGTTCTTTATTGTTATGAATTGGATACTTGTGAAGTTTTCAGAAGAATGAGTTGGAAAGAAGGGTTTCCAGTTGTGGTACATAATATCAAGGTGTATTCAGAAGTCTAAAAACTCAATACCATTATAGAACTTCATTAATACAAACTACAAAAAGCCAAGTTTGTGTTGAAAAACTTAAAAATAATCCCTTAGCTGTGCTCTTTCAGTTATTTTGTTTGCAGGTAACAATTTCACAAGTGCACAATAAGAACGTTTTATTTTATCTTCTGCAGCCATAAATCAAGAGTTAAAGGCCACCTTAGATTAAAAATGACTTACTTACCTAAAAGCAATGGGTCTGAAGAAGAAACCACAGAACAGGCTGAAGAATTGGAGGTGGGAAAAGATGTATTTATTGCTGAAAAACCTAGCAAATGTTCTCAGCTATTAAGGATAGTTACAGTAATGAATGTTAGGAATCATTATGCTATAAATAGTGTTTTAGAAACAAACCAATTAAGAGCAATTGCTTGTATCTTACGTAAAAGTTGTAAGTCTGCATAAAAATTCTGGAGCAGAGCAGTTTTTCTAGCTAAAGGAGTGGCTTTGTCAGTTTATCTAAAAAAAGAAGACATACATCAGGTTTTGTTCTGATACTGCCTTGCCATATGTCTATGTAACTTTTCTTGTTTTAGAATTAATGGAAATATTGCCCAGTATTTTTATTGCTGTTTAACATTGTTTGACCCCAGCCAGCCAGACACAGATATCTTGCTGGTTTTAGAATTTTAACTCTCTCCAATTTCTAGGGATAGTTTCATCTTAACTAGTTTACATTTGTCATCTTTTGTAAGCCCATCCAATTTAGATCAATGGATTTCTTTTCAAGACTTAAACAACTCTAATCAGCATTACCATCTTTTCTGTAATTAAACTTGCTGTTACAAAATGGTATGGTCATCTGACTAGTACATTTGCAGCATATGTATGAAATGAAATTTATTTACCTTTTTTTAATATATTCTATGAATGCTGTTTATTTTCCTGAAATAAACAACTTTTGATGCTAATATATTTAAGGAACTTGAGTTAACAATAAGATTTCTGCATGCATAATTTGTCCTATTATTTCTTCAGAAATATACACAATAAAATCCACAGCCAGTCTTACTGGGTTAGCTGTAGTGGAACAGTACCTTAAAAGGGGGGTGGTTTAATAAATTGAGATACTTTTTCAACTCTGGTAACATTAAAGGTAGTTAAATTATATCTCTTAGCCTGGGTGGATTATATTGGACCAACCAGATGCTGCTAGCCAGCCACAACAGCAGCAGCAGGAATCTCCTCCACTGCCTTCAGGCTGGGAAGAAAGGCAAGACATCCTTGGCAGGACCTACTATGTCAATCATGAATTCAGAAGAACACAGTGGAAAAGACCAACTGCTCAGTATGTCTTTTGGCCTGGAAAGTCAAATCTTATATTAACTAGTGTAACTAGTTCACTCGAGTTATGTTGAAAGCAAGGAGAACTAGAAAGTGAACAGCTTGAGAATTAGTAGATAGCTCTCCATAGCTTAACCTCCAAGCCCATGTGTAATGGTCACTGGCTAGTAGTCATTTTAACTGCACAGTACTCTTCCTGTTCTCTGGAAGGATGCATTCAAAAAGAAACTGGTTGCAATTGTAAGAGATAATAACTATAGTAATGGAAGGAAATTTATTTCTCAGTTCTAAGCCTGGTTCCTCCTTCCCAGCAGGGACTGCATTAAATTATTTACTATGGTTTTTTTTCAGATTTTTTTCCCCCTTAGCAAGTGAATAAAAAAAAAAACCCCACACCTGGAATGCTATCTGGTTCTTTAGTTTAATTTACACTAAGCATTGACATGAATACTTATTCTTTTTAAATAGTTTACATTAATTTTCATAGCTTGTGACTGCTTCTTTTTCTTCTGCTAAAATGACTGTATTGTTTTTGCTGTTGGCCTCGCTTACTGTTGAAAGATAAAATGTGGCTACTGTATGCTGACTTTCCCCCCAACAGGGACAATGTAGCTGTTGCAGATATTGGTAGTGTGCAGCTGGAGGCCCAGCATGTGTTTACTCATCGGCGACAGATATCAGAGGATACAGAAAATCTAGACAACAGAGATTCCCCTGAGGTAAAAACGATCTCTTCGTGTTGCTGAAATGCAAGTCATGTTTTAATCTAGTCAAAAGCTAGTCCTAACTATTTGTAACTTGGAACTACTTTTTAAAAATGTTTTTTTTTCTTTATTTTATTTTTAAAGAGCTGGGAAATTATAACTGAAGACGAGGCGACAATGTATAGCAATCAGAACCTTCAAATACCTCTCTCACAGAGTAATTGTGATATACAGACTCATCTTGCAGAAGAATTGAACACCAGACTTACTACCTCTGGAAGTTCAGCTACTGGCCAGTCAGCAGCCTACACCGTAAATTATTTTTCTCGTTATTCTGATGTACAGAAATATCTATAATATTTTGCACAAAATGTTATACTGATAGAATTAGACCCATAAATACTTGATATGAACAATTATATTTTTAATTTAATCTCAAATGCAGAGAATTTAAGAGAGTAATCTTTTTACTATGGAACCCCATCTAAGAAAATATTTTGTTCTTCGCCACTTTGCTTGTATAAATTTCTGCCTGAGATTAAAACAGACTTGCGTGAGCTATTTTTCAGTCTGTAAATTTACCTCCTCTTCTGGTGTCATACTGAATGCTACTGAAAACTACAGATGAAGGAAGCTGTCTGTATGCTGAAAGCTTATTTCTAAGGGAGTTGTGCTATATTGGTTACTTTTTCAACAAGGACAAGCTTTAAGATAACCCATTTTTCATTGTGAATATTGGGATAAAGTTTTATGATTGGGCTGAGTAAACCTGGCAACTCCTTAGCAGTGAAAAAGGGGCCTCGCTCATACAGTTCCACAGCCCTTGCGCCAGTTAGGAAACTTCTCTGACCTCTCAGTGAGTCTGTTCAGCTTGCTAACCCAGCAGAAAACTATTCTCTTTTTTCCCCAACTCCATTTTTTTGCGGTTTTAGCAAGTTGAAACAGCATGCTGCATTGTCTGACAGATGCTGTGGTGGCAAAGGAAGGCAGAAGGAGTACATAGCCAGGAGAGAGACTTCTTTTTGGTGGTGGCAAGCAATTAAATAAGCTCAGCTGTCTTATGAAACCCAAGCTCCACAAACAGCCTTGTAACCTGGTATGTGACTTGAGAAATCCACTGTCCATTGAGAAAAGCCTATAGAGGTAACCCAGACCATCTAGTCTGTAAGATTTTGGTATTTAAATAAAATCATTAGCTTTTGTGATGCTGAGAACGCCATTCCAAATGTAAATTTGGAATTGACTGTGTTTTCCTAAGTTTGTATAAAGGCATTTCTAGTGTTGCTGGAAACAGCAAAGTGAGAGTAACAAGACTTTACTTGATCTCCGCTATTCAGAATCCTGTGGATAGCCAGAAAACTATTATTTTAGCTTGCTTGGGTGGCCTAAGCAAAGAGACAAATGTTCAAATTACTTGCAAGAGCCAGCTAGAACGACAGTCTTGCCTCCCTTCACCTCCATCACCTCCCAAAAAACAAGTTGAAAAACTTAATCATGCTTTTTCTTTGAAGTATTCTAAAGGGTACATAGATAGGGAAAATCCTTCAAATAATCTGGAAGTTCTGGAGCAAGATGAAATAAAGTTGCTTCACTGTGGCAGATGGAATCTAAATATGGCTCTAGGCAGAAAGGTGGATGCTAACGTGAAGTCCAGGGATTGAATTACTCTTCTCAAACTCTCCTATCTTGTCATTATTAACTACATCTATTCTCTGAAAAGTTGTGTTAGCTCTGATATATCACAGGCTTTAGTATACTGACAAGATAATGCATTAAGTTCTATACTGTAAATTTGATTGTAATGTGACTGGTTGAAGTTAACTCTTATCTTTTATGTGCCAAAACATCTATTGTTAAGGTTTTCAGAACTTTCAGATGCCTCTGTATTATTCTGTTTTAAGGTTATAATAGACTCTCTGAACTTAATGTTTCTAGCAGTGTTAAAACAGGAGTTTTGAAAATACTACATTAAATCAACATTTCAAAGTAAATAAGACACTTTGTTCAAGATGAAAAATGTAGTGATTTGAAGCGTGATAACCATTGTTGACTGTTTGCTGCCATCCTTAAGGCTGCAATAATAGCTAATATGTCATTCTTCTTTGCTACTTCAAGAACCATTCCAGTAGAAGAGGTAGTCTGCAAACATACAGAGTTGAAGAGCAGCCTGCACATCCAGTGGTATGTCATTTTCCAAAAAAACCCACAGGCTTGTGTAGCAGAGAAGCTGAAGGGTTTTCTTTATTGTAAAACTTTTTTTTATGTATTACATGCTGGCACTTTAAATGAGATTTGGCCGTCTGCTTCTGGCAGCTGTCCTGACAAAATTGCAGTTATGAGTCTAGCAAGACTGGAGTTCAGTTGTAAATCTTTCATGTTCCAACTTTGTGTTTTTGGTTTAACGTTAGCTTAGTGCATGGGTAGAACCTGCAGAGGGAAGTAGTCTTCCCATGAAGAGAAGAGTTTTGTTTTTCAAATTGTTTGCTTTATAATTAAAAGCTGTACCACCATCCTTACATTATGTTTTCATGGCGACACTGCAAACTATTAGCTCGTAGCCAGGAGTACTAGGTTGGATCAGCCACGCCTAAACCAGGTATATAAATGAATCCTTTTAGATAGGAACCTTGAATTAAAAAAAAAAAAATTAAAAAAAAAAAATAATCTGTCACTTCATACTATACAGTAAGGACTTAAACACAGGTTTTCTATTTTATCCAATTTGTGAAAACCATGAATCTTCTGGATTATAGTTTTGTTTTAACTTAACAGAGGAAAGAGAAAGCCTTTCACAGTCAATTTCATAGTTTTCTTAATTGTTTTTCTTCTGTTATCACTAATATTTAGTTACTGCCTACTTCATCTGGATTACCCCCAGGCTGGGAAGAACGACAAGATGAAAAAGGGAGGTCATATTATATAGATCACAATTCTAGAACCACTACCTGGATAAAGCCAGTTGTACAGGTACTGTCTGTCTTCTAGTTGTTTAAAAGATTAATTTAATGTTTTTATTAATATCTCACATAATAGAAGTAAAGTTTAGAGACCTCTTTGAAATAGAACATGTGAAAGGCATAAACTGGTAAAGCACTACGTAAAACATCGAAGAGAATGCAACAAGAGTTAGGAATGGTAACGTTTATGGCAAGTCACTCTACTATAATGTACCAAGAAAGCCTACTGGAGAGTGATAGCTAGTTGAGAAGCCTGAAAGACTTCTTTTTAACTTTGCTAGCATTATCAGTGATTGTTAGTCAATGTTGTTGATATTAGACTGAACAAATCTATGTACTCTTAGGCACTTTATGAAACTGCTTTCATGAGTCAAAAATACAGGTTAATGGAAAAAATATTTTGTTCTACAGGGCTTTCTTTGATTTTTTTTTTTTTGTCATTTACCATAGATCGCTATGGAAACAGGTCAGTTGTCAGCTGTGCAAAGTATTTCTATAGGAAGACAACCACAAGCAACATCAAGTGATTCATCACAACAGTCTTCTCAGCAACAGTCTGAAACGGAGCAAGGATTTCTCCCTAAAGGCTGGGAAGTCCGACATGCACCCAATGGGAGACCTTTCTTTATTGACCACAATACCAAAACTACAACATGGGTAATGGAAAACTGCTCTCGTAGACTGAAATTCTACAGACTCTATTGGTACTTGAAAATTTAGCTTGGAAGGAGGAAAATACTGATGTATATAGGAACCTGTTTCGCAGATGTAAAGCCACTGCTAAATGACACTTCTGTCATAACTGTAAAACTGTGGTGGCTTATATGTGCTGTTAATAGAAATCAGTTTTGTAAACTTACCTTCAACAGGAAATCCATTGCCTTGAATTTATCACATGATACAGTGCACAACACAAATATCTATGAGTTCTTAAGAAAGCAGGCCAGGTGCAGCCACAATATGGATGAGGGAGTTGTACAGCTACCGTTCTGCAGAGTGGCACTGCACACCACTAGGCAGTGCTAATAAGTGGACTTAAGCATTTAAGGAATGGGTCAGTATGGCTGTCGGGTGAAAGAGAAACAGGGAAATGCATTAAATTGATTCAAAATGAATATTCCTTTTTTCAGGATTATGGAAGGACTTCATTTAACACAAACACCTTCCCCTTATCCCCCCCAAAAAACACAACCCAACCAACCAACCAACCAAGACCAACCACCAAACCCAAAAAGCACAGCATGTGACAGAAATCATATGGAAAGATTAACTTGACTCAGTTACACTAAAACTGAGTTGATTGAGGGATTTTTTTTGTATATGTGTAATCAAGTAAGAGCTCATTAGAAGTTGATTATAAACTACTGGAGAATTGAGAATCCCCAAGCAACTACCTGGCTGCAGAATAAGCAACAATTATCTAGTTGGTACTAGGCATGTTCTTTACACAATCATTAATAACGAGGAAAAAATTAAAAGCAAAACAAAACAACAAAAGGATTTTAACATGCTGCTTGTTTTGTTTTCAAAGGAAGATCCAAGACTGAAAATTTCTGCTCATCCAAGGAGAAAGACTTCCCTAGATCCCATAGACCTGGGCCCATTACCAGTAAGTAAATCATTCTGTAGTTGTTTCGCAGGTAGAACAATTTAAATACTTAGATTAGCACTATCAAAAGTTGCACGTCAGAAAATATAGCCTGCTTTTGTCATACAAAACAATACTCTATTTTGAATTCCAGTGCTGAGAGTAGATGGAGGGGAGGAATGCCCCCAACTGCAGAGCATGTTGAGTTCTGTGCAAACTATATGGTCAAAAGTTTATAATAAAAAGTGTCTGCTTCTTACAGCCAGGGTGGGAAGAGAGAACTCACACAGATGGAAGAATATTCTTCATAAACCACAGTATGTGCAATGTAGTATTCTCCCCCTACTCATAATTTTTTTCCTGAACATTATCTAAATTAATGGAACTAATTAAGAAATTTCTTGCAGATACAAAGAAAACACAATGGGAGGATCCTCGACTGCAGAATGTGGCAATAACTGGACCAGTAAGCTTTTCTTATGTAGCTTTATGTATTTTTCAATATTGCTAATAGAATCCAGACGAACTCTTGTCACTTACCAGGTACTCAGTCTAGGAGATGAAACTTCCAGGGTGTTGGAACAAGGCATTTTTATTTCTTTTTAAAGACTGTTCAGAGAGCTTTCTGTGGAAACAGTCTTTAAGTGCCATAAAGAAAAATCAGTTGCCATAGTAGTAAGAAAGTTTCCTTACAGACTGGAGCAGATTTGAAGTGCATAAGAAACTTTATTTTTTTTTAATCCATGATGTCCAAACTAAAACTGTCTTGATTCATGAAGTAAATTTGCAAGAAAAAAAAAAAAAAAAGAAAATGGCTTTAAAAGGAATGAAATTACTTTCCAACTGAAAAATAATTATCTAGCCTTGATACTTAATCTGAAGTGCAAAATTACCAGGACTAATTGCAAAGACGGTACATGTTATAATTATAGATGGGTTTTAGTGTTCAACTGATATCTGTTTATTAATAGCCCACATATGTAAACAACCTTCTCTGTCCATGGAAAATAGAGGTGTTTGTAGCCAGGTCTCTCATGATACAGCAAGGAAAGACTATGTGTTATTTAAGTCACCAAAAGCATTTTGGTCACTTTGATCTGGGCCAGTCAATGATCTTAGTCAGTCACATCAGCTGATAGTAAAGTACAGGATAAATTCTATGAAGCTGCTTAGAACAAATGATCTGAACAAAGAAGTACTTCTCGTTCCAGATGTTTTGAACTGTCCATATACTTCTAAATTGAATGTATCCCCTGATACATAATAAAACATTGCCTATGTTTCACAAATATAGTTTAGTCTATATTACATTAATTGTTAGAGTATCTAAAGCACTCTTTCTTTTCTTTTTTTTTTCCTTTTTTTTTTCCCCCCCCCCAAAGGCTGTGCCTTACTCCAGGGACTATAAGCGGAAGTATGAGTTCTTCAGAAAGAAATTGAAGAAACAGGTTAGTAATCAGTAGGAATCCAGGTCAAGAAACTTATGCCCCTAAATAAAGGAAAGCTTAGGTTACGGTGAAAGGAAATTGAATCTTAGTAACCTGCTTATGAAAGGAAGATATACTGTCTCATCACAAATACATTTGTGAAGCAGAGAGTTGCTAACAATTAGTATTTAACAGTAGGATTTGTGACACTGTGCAGTGATGAGACTGCAAGTAATCCAATTGAAAAAGTAGAAAAAGGGTAAAGTTGTGAACCTGGAAGTAGGCTGGCAACAGAAAAGTTTGGAAATCACTGATGTAGCATATAATAGTTTTTGGAACTCAGAATATGGAAATAGAAGTTCTCGGAATAGATTTTAGACTGTTCAGATAGAAATCTGTACTGTCATCTTGGTCAGGCTAGATGGCTGACCAAGGCTGACCTAATAAAATGTTACAGCCTTAAAATCTTGAGTTTATGAATCTCATTTGCAAGTTCTAGTTTGAAGTGGCAGTGCCAGATTTATTTATAATGCATAGCATAAAAGACTGTAAATAGCATCTGGATATATAGATAACAATGAGTCTTTGCAATCAAATTTGTTATTCTTTGGAGATATTTTATATATATAGTAATAGCCTTTGAGTTTAGACCCATACTTCACCTTTTACCCGCCATGTCTGTCTCTAGCCTTTCTGAAACCTGTGCATTTTGAGCTGACGCTTAAATTGCACACAATTACGTATGCACCTTATTTTTGTGTTCCTAGTCAAACAAGCTTGGCATTCATTCAAATGTCATCCTGATCTGAGAAGTAATAGACAGCTCAGCCACACAATATAATCATAGAAATTTAAGAATTAAATATACACGTAGATTTAAAGCATACATTACTATTGCCTTCTAAGCATTCACAAATACCTAAATGACAATTAGGGTAATGGATTGATTTATGTTGAGATTTAATTATTAAATACTGTTTTAATCAGCTGAGTTTTTGGGTTTAGTAATTGATTTCATTATTGCTTGAACTTTTTTCTGAAAAGTCAATTTGCAACTAAAACCAGGAATATATACTTAAAAAAAAAAAATTAGGGATATTTACTCCTTTCTGAAATGATGAAAAAGACCTATATATTTCATCCACCATGTAAATTAGACATCTAATATTGTACAGTGTTTTGCAACTTGGAAAATGACAAATAATGTCCTCCCCCACTCCAAGTAATTATTTTTTGTTTGTAGTTTGGATCAAGCTGTTGCTGCATATAAATAGGCATTACATTTAAATGCAGCATTCTATTTTTTGGTTTGTTTTTTTTTTTTTTATTTGGGATACCTAGCATAGATTATTTAAGGAGTATAATAAAATACAAAAAAGCATATCTGAACATGTGCTCTTCAGATTGACTTCTTAAATATTTCTGCTTTCAAAAATTCTTTATTTCTACTCGGTGTGTGACTAGATCTTTGAAAACTGAAATATATTAAGTTCCATTGCATCATCCTAATCTAGTCATAGAGCAACAAGAGTTGAAATTTCCTGTTCCCACTTTCACTGAATTTCTCAATTTTGCCTGAAGTAATTGCTGAAATTAACTGTCTGAAATCAAGAAAACACTCTGTTCTCATGTAGTGATTTAATGATTCAGCAAAGTTTTATTCCTGGTTTATTAGGGGCTTACTCTGAAAGCTCAGCAGTGAATCTGAGCCCCTTGGATATTTTTATTTATAAACCTGGTGATTTGATCCTGTAACTTCAATTTTTAAGTAGACTGATTTTTATTTTAATACTGTAGGAATACTAGTTTGTCATGCATGTCTTAAGAGAACGAGACACCTAGCTTTACAGTTGGAATATCGAACTAGAAGGTGAAATAAGTCGTGTAAAATTGTTCCAAAATAATTTTATCTATAAACACTGAGATGCTTTTTTTAAATTAAGCTTATAATGTGATGAATTTTCAGTGTTGAAAAAGTTTCTGTGCCTTGCTGCATGCAGAACAACTGAGCATATGCTGTTACCAGTAAGAACTTACTTTAACCCTATTTTCTTGGCATGAAATAGAACATAGTGTCTGAAACTCTCCATGCTAGTTGAATTGTATGTAAATAGAACCTCTTGTCAATCATACTGTGTTGTATTTCCAAATTATTTAGGAAGAGGATTTTTGTGACATTCTTTGTTTACAGAATTTGCATATGCTGCAAGACTAAAAGATGTTGGGTTTTGTTCTATTATTCCATGTTTTCATTTTTTTTTTTTAGAGTGATATTCCAAATAGATTTGAAATGAAAATTCATCGCACAACAATCCTTGAAGATTCTTATAGAAGAATTATAGCTGTAAAGAGAGCAGATTTCCTTAAAGCAAGACTTTGGATTGAATTTGATGGCGAAAAAGGTTTAGATTATGGAGGAGTGGCCAGGGAATGGTTCTTCCTTCTCTCTAAAGAAATGTTTAATCCTTATTATGGATTGTTCGAATATTCAGCTACGTAAGTAATACAGGTCTGGAAGACATGAAGACTACTTAGGGAAAGTAGATAATTGTTTTTCTCATACGCACTTGAAAAATGGAATTATGATTTATTTTTTTTCCTCCCTCCTAAACTGTGTAGAAGGGTTTAGTTGTTAATAACTACAATATTCTGCACCTAGTTCTTTGTTTGACAGAAGAATAATGTGGAGACGGTATCTGTATCTTTCTTTTTTTCAGCAGTCTAACATAATCCATGTCATCTTTGCGCAGACAAGCATATGCTTGCAACCATCTACTACTTAAAGACAGTATTTAGCAAATACTGTGGGGAATGCTATTCTGACTACTTTTAAAATTAATAGGAGTTGGCTCTTCTCTTTGGTATATCTCTAACTTAGAAAGGTAGTTTGTGGTGTTTCAAAACTGTTATTTCTTCTATGCTAATAGAATTTTCTATCGAGTATTCTTTAATATTAGATTAGTGATCTATTAATCCAAATATGATTATTTTTTCAACTTTGTGAAAAGTAATACCCGATTTAACCAGTGACATCTTTCAGGTCTTTAAATGTGGGACTGTTCCAATTAGTACAACATTTTGTTTTTCTTTCTCTTCTCTGCTCCCTCCCTCAACTTCAGGGATAACTATACTCTGCAGATCAATCCAAACTCTGGACTTTGCAACGAAGATCATCTCTCTTATTTCAAGTTTATAGGCCGTGTAGCTGGAATGGCTGTTTACCATGGCAAACTCTTGGATGGTTAGTATTTATGTAATATGATATTTAAATTAATTTTTTGCATATCTTGAATTTCAAGTTGCATACTGTTCAATTTATTTATTCTTCTTTAAAGCCTTTTTTATTCGTCCCTTTTACAAGATGATGCTCCAGAAACCAATAACGCTTCATGATATGGAGTCTGTGGTACGTAATTTGCTTTACTATGTATGTTAGGATTTCATGTTCTCTGGGGGTTTTTTTTGTATCTTTAATAGCATTGTGAAGGTTGAAAGTGCATGTTTTAAAGAAATTTTAGGCTACATCTTTTCTAAGTCTGTAAGTTGCATAGTAATTAAAATTTCCAATGAAAATCAGAGAGACTTAGTCTGGTTTAAGTCAGTTAAGCTGTATTGAAAACTTGACTCTAAACTTGCTATGATGTTTTCTTAAAACATTTTTAGACACTAAGGTTCTTGGGATACCTGCCTCAACCTGTTTTTTAAATTAATTTGTGACTTGTGATTATTAAAAAGAAACATTCTTATACTTTCAGAGACTGTGAAAATATTAATGAGCGATACAATGTAACTTTTTAGAGGAAAATGTCCTTGTAATTTTCTTGTTTCTTTTTCTGATAATGGTTCTTATCTAGAGTAGTTGTTGGCAGACTGATTTTTATTCATTCTCTTTAATCTACTGCTGGTTTTGCTGTCCTATAAGAATACGGAATATAGTTCCTATCTGTTTCTGAGTAATAGATTCGTAGATGTGTCCTGATTCCTTCGTCTTCCCCTGCTGCCCATACTATAGAATCATAGAATGGTTTGGGCTGGAAGGGACCTTAAAGATCAACTAGTTCCAACCCCCCTGCCATGGGCAGAGACACCTTCCACTAGACCGGGTTACTCAAAGCCTCATCCAACCTGGTCTTGAACGCTTCCAGGGAGGGGGCATCCACAGCTACTCTGGGCAACCTGTGCCAATGTCTCACCACCCTCACAGTAAAGAATTTCTTCCTAATACCTAAGCTAAATCTACTCTATTTCAGTTTAAAATGGTTACCTCTCATCACTACACTCCCTGATAAAGAACTGCTCCCCATCTTTCCTGTAGGCCCCCTTTAAGTACTGGAAGGCTGCTCAAAGGTCTTCCTGGAGCATTCTCTTCTCTAAGCTAAACAACCCCAATTCCCTCAGCCTGCTTTTCTAGGGGAGGTGCCCCAGCGTTCTGTTTGTCTTCATGGCCCACCTCGGGACCTGCTTGGAGCAGGTCCATGTCTGTCTTATGCTGGAGACCCCAGAGCGGAACACAGTACTCCACGTGGGGTCTCACCAGAGTGGAGTAGAGGGGGAGAATAACCTCCTTCTTTGTGCTGGTCACTCTTCTTTTGATGCAGCCCAGGATACAATTTGCTTTATCTTAATTTTGATTTCCTAATGCTCTTTGTAGTAATGCCTAACAATAAAGGGAAGATAAATACAGGATGAGAGACAGAGAAGAGTCCAAAATACATTACTTCAGATCATGCTGTGATATCTTACCACTCTTGCTACGTGAGAGATTTTTAGTCCTGAGTTTGCTGAGTCTTCAGGTTTCAAACATCTTCAAAGATCTTGAAGCTTTGTACGTTTGCAGAGTCTCTGTATCCAATACAGCATTATCCTACGTAGCAGCATTCACTGGGCTGTTATGGAGGCTCTTGTAGCTTAAAAGGTGGCAACTCTATTTTGTATTTACCACTTTTGTAATTTTCTCTCTTAGGATAGTGAATATTACAATTCTCTGAGATGGATTCTTGAAAATGATCCAACAGAACTGGACCTCAGATTTATAGTTGATGAAGAACTTTTTGGCCAGGTTAGTATGTTTATCACAGAATCGTTAAGGTTGGAAAGGACCTTTGAGATCATCAAGTCCAACCGTTAACTAGACACTACCATACCCACTGAACCATGTCCCGAAGCGCCACATCCACATGTTTTTTGAACACTTCCAGTGATGGTGACTCCACCTCCCTGGGCAGCCTGTTCCAATGCTTGACCACTCTCTCGGTGAAGGAATGTTTCCTAATATCTAATCTAAACGTCCCCTGGCGCAACTTGAGGCTGTCTCCTCTCGTCCTATCACTAGTTAACTTTGGAGAAGAGACCAAGAAGAGGCCATCACCCATGTTGCCACAACCCCCTGTCAGGTAGCTGTAGAGAGCAATGAGTCTTCCCTCAGCCTCCTCTTCTGCAGACTGAACAATCCCAGTTCCCTCAGCTGCTCCTCATAAGACTTGTGCTCCAGACCCCTTATGTAAAGTAGGATAGACAAAATGTGAAAGAAAACATGGTCGTATTGGTTTGTTCACTCAGCTGCTTCTTTTAGCTAGCACATGCTCATGCAGTGCTCTGTTAGCCTGGCTGTGATGTGATGTGATAAAGGACTTGGAAACAAGCAGAACTTTACAAAATAACTCGGGCTTTTTTCTTAAATAATAATTGTATTGAAATGTAGCTGTTGGTGTGAATGCAACTGAGACTGATATCCATAGTCCCATTACTTAATCTGGAGTAGAGGTTGGTTTTATGTGATTGGCTGGAAAGGATGAGCTCTTTTAGAAATGGTTGGAGTCATAAATTTCCTTGGGAGAAAATAATAGTTTTTTTTCTCTTAAGATGTACTAGAAAACTGTGGAATTAACAAGTTTGTTGCGTGGAAAGCTATCCAAGATAAATCATGTAGAAATACTACAGGTCTTGAATAAAAATTCCAAAGTACAGGTGCCAACTAGATCTAACTAAAATAATAGCCTTTGGGTTCTTGTGTAACTAAGTAAGAGTGTGAAAATGTACATCTGTAATGAACTGAAAATCAGATATTTGTCTACTCAGGTTCTAGTAGTATAAATCATTATGTAACAGATACACATATTGATTCACTTATTTACTGGGACCATTGCTGAAATTGTTCTATAAGTGTTTTTTCTTGAGATCTGGAAGAAAGGCCTGAGTCATTGAATATGCAGTTAGTGAAGTCTGCATTACTGAACTTGTGTGCAAACTTAGGTGATTTATTGTAGCAGGTCAGAAAAAATGGGAGGTTGCCCCATTGCAGTCTGGTATCCCTGAATAATACATTTTTTTAAAACAATCAAGCAAATTCCATTTATTCAGGTGACCTGTGAAACTGGTTCTATTTCTCATAGCTTTCAAATTTTGCAGTCTTCAAGAGTTAACTAAGTTACCTTATATTAACATATGAATTCTGTTACATACATATCTCATTTAAGGCCTATTCTATATATTGCATTTAGACCCATCAACATGAACTGAAAAGTGGTGGATCAGAAATAGTTGTCACCAACAAGAACAAGAGAGACTATATTCAGTAAGTAGTGGTCACTATGTGAAATGTGTCTCACTGAATTGTCCCTCTAGTAGGAGGGGCTGTGTGTTAGTTGTATTAACAAAAGGAAGTTGATTTGTATATAAATTGCTTTTATTTTAAATGTTTTTGCTTTTTTACAGTCTTGTAATTCAGTGGAGATTTGTCAGCAGAGTACAAAAACAAATGGCAGCCTTTAAAGAGGTATAGTTTTCATTATAAAATATTCTAATAATTTGTTGCATCTAATCTTATGACAAGTTTTTTTTAACATCCTGAAGACCCAAAGATGATGTTGTTACAGGTATAAAAAAGGTGGTGATACTGTTTGTAGTGTCAACTTTGAATTTTTTCAGATTTAAAAAGCTTTTTGGTATATTTTTACCGAGGTGTTTAATTCATATTGAAAAATTTACTTATTTCTCAATCCTGGCTGACAGCTTTAGTTGTAGTGCAAACTATTTAATGAACTCTGCAGAAATGAGAATTAAATCAAACTAATAGAATTAAATTAAACTAGATGGTTTATCCTTGTTTGTATAAGTGATATTACATATATGATATTCAGACTTACATATTCACCATTCAATGTAGCACAATAAAGATGTGAGATAAGTCAGAATTAAAAATACCATAACCAAACTTGGGGACTGCTGGTGTCCAAACATCTGTATTTGATGTATTGGTTTTTCTCTGTTTAGTAAAGCTTCTAAATATCATTCTCAATGAGCAGAAGTTCTTAAATAATAGTGACTTATTTCTAAAAACTTCCTTCATCTTTTTAGGGTTTTTTTGAACTAATACCGCAGGATCTGATTAAAATATTTGATGAAAATGAGCTAGAGGTAAGTGTGTCATATAAAGGAAAACAAATTATGTTGAAACTTAATATTACTGACTTAAACTTCAGTGTTTTGGATTTTGTTTTTTTTTATTTTTATCTGTGTAGTTATTAATGTGTGGACTGGGAGATGTGGATGTGGCTGATTGGAAACTACATACGAAATACAAAAATGGCTACAACATAAACCATCAAGTAATACAGTGGTTCTGGAAGGTACCGTGAAGTTCTACTGTTGGGTTTTTTTCTTAAAACCTGTTCAAAAGCTGCTGCTTTTCAGCAATGCTAGTTTATCATGTGATTCATCAATGGGTAGGTAAATATTTGACCACTAAAACTCCTGAGAAAGATAGTAAGAGTAAGAAAATTAAAGATGAGATGCATGGTAAGAATGTAAATACACTACTGATACTTGTTTTTACAAAAGAATCCATGTCTAAGTGGGGTTAAAAATATTTCTGTGTACGTTTTTCTGGCATGGTTACACTGAAGAGGTGTTAAACTCTCCTGTTTAATAAATTACAGGAATTTGACTGCTAGTTCATAACATCAAGAAACTTCAAAGAAAGTAGGGGCCAAACCTTCAAGGGAAGTATTTTAACAGCCTGCTAAGCCAGTAACTGTACTCTTGTTACAGTGCCATTAAAAAATTGTTGACTTCATAGCTTTCAGCAACAGGCAGAGAAGACTATGTGTGTCACTAAAAAAATGCATATATATAGGGTAATGATTTAGAGACAGAAACTATGTTGCATAATTCTGCTAGCTTAAATCCTTAATTTAAAGACAAATCTTTAATTGTAGTCATTATCATACATAGGCAGTCTTAATGATGGACTCTGAAAAGAGAATAAGATTACTTCAATTTGTTACTGGCACATCACGCGTACCTATGAACGGGTTTGCTGAGCTGTATGGTGAGTACTTATGATTATGCTCACAATTAAGTAACAGAGAACATAATACGGACATTGTCATATTTGATTTCAAACATAGGTGCATTATTTTTCAAATTTTGCTTTAAAAATTAGTATATACTACCAGTTGTAAGAGGCAAAGTTAGAGAAGTGTCACTTAGCTCATGTGTTTCCCATGTTCTAGAAATACTTAATTTTAATTGGTTTTGGAAGTTTTTAAATGTATAGGGCTTCTCAAATTAATGTGGATTTTAAAGTTCTAAAGAGCTGTAAAAATCCGTGTTTAACACATGATTGAGCCTGAAGAAAACTCTCCGTTATCTCAGATCTGATTACAAAGACATGCTGGCATCAGCAGTTAACTTCAGATTCTTCTAAGTTCCCCAACTGCTTTTATCTGCTCACAAGCCACAGTTGTACGGATACAATTGTTTGTAAGGATATACTCTAAAGAGGACCACTGAAATGACAAACATAATGCCAAAAGAAAAGTAGTGAACCTACAATGCAGAGATTGAAACAAGCAGATGGCAGCAGGGAGCAGACTTTAACACCAAAGCCAGAAAACCCACTGTGGATAGACTGCGGCCAAGTGGATAGAACAGCCTATGAAGGGTAGGGATGTTTTGCTTATGGGAAGTCGCTATTCAGCTGCCATCAGCTATTATGTTTTCTGCTAGACTGCTTTATTAAGGCTAAAAGTGCTTGAGATCTTATACAAATGACTGAATAGCCTAACTTGCATATTTGAATAAACATTTCCTTCTCTGTAAACAAGACAGTAATTATTTATAAAACACTCGAATTGAGAACACACATGGCCCACTGTGTGTCCCCATTTCTCCCTCTCTTAATTTTCATTGTAAATGCTCAGTTTATTTTTTCCATTCCATCAGTGAATGAGTTGTGAGTTCCAATGGAAAGGACAGTGCCTCAGCGGACTTCAGCCATGTGTCTGCTGTTGCACCTGAACCTTGGCACTATTGGAGTTACAGTGCATGCTCATTGTAGTGGAGCCCGATCAGAATTCTGCCGCCTTGGGATTTTTGTTTATTTGTCGAAAAACACTACTGGAGATAGAGCTAAGGAATGATATAGGGGAAAAAAACCTGTTGAACCTCTTGGCTTCTTTCTGCCTAGGGGTTAGGCTATCCTTGAGCAGTCTTTTGGCCAAGTCCCAGTTTCTGTAGCTCTATTCACTCATTAATGAAACATTAAATTGTCTTGCACAGTGCTTTGTTTCTTTCTCTTACAGTTATTTCTGCTTTACTGTGGGCGGCATGCCATCCTCACTAAACCCCAGTAATGATCACAATCACATTTCCAGTACCTGCTTGTATTTGAAGAACTGTAGGTGGTTCTTCAGTGCTTCATCTTGGTACGTGGCTTTTTGCTGCTGCCGGGCTGCCCCTGTGGCTGTTCAATTTCCACCTTTGGGCTGCAGTCCTAGAGCTGGCTTTCGAGTGGGAGATCTCCCTCCTGTGGCCCAGAGAGGCATTTCTCGTAAAAAGGGAGTGCCTGGTGTCTGGGAGCAAATACACACAAGTTTGAGAATTAGGACACTGAACAGACATGGCTTTCTTATATTTCTTGTCTTCACCCATCCTGCTTTGTCAGCCTCTAGTTAGGATAGCTAAAATGCAGACTTACTCTTACCTAGCTATTAAAAGGGAGTTTTATCTTCGTGTCACATGGTAGAATGCAGTCAGTCTTAGAGCTGCTTGTCTGCTTCGTCCTTATTCCAGGCATTCCTTACTAGTTACCTTTTCTAACCAGCCTTCTGCATTGAAGAAACCTGTAACTCAAAGAAGAAGAGCTGGAAGTGTCCCCACAACTACTGATATATCTGTCTCCCTGATAATATTTTAGGATTTTTAAGTGCTCAGTGTTTGCTGTCATCTGTCTAGTTCACTCACTAGACTTGTACAACGTATAGTATCTGTGCATTGATTGGTATTTCCTACCTTTTTGGGTATGTTAGTAGTTGTGAAAGGGTTTTCTCCTTTTATTTTCATGTTTGGGATGAATTGTCTTGCGTTTATTTGGGTATACAAGTTGGCTACCATCTTCCAAATCCACTTCTACAATGTGCATTATTACATGTTATCATAATATATTTTCATTTTATTATGAATATGTATACATTTTTCATGTCTCCATAAAACCACAAGTGAAATATTTTTGAATTTACAATTACAACTTTAGTATTAAAAATTAAAAAAAAAACAAAAGCAAAACCAAAAAAAACCAAAATCAAAGCAAACCCAAAACATTTTGGAGGAGTCATGAAAAAACGGGAAGTGTCTGCCTGCATTATAAAACCAAATTCATTTCATAGATCTAAAGGTACTGTATGCAGCATTTATATCTCAGCTGTATTCATAGATCAATCTGTTCTCATTACTGCTGCTCGTCTTTAATCTGAAACATGTTTTACATCTTCCATTTCAGAAGCAGAAGGCTACTCATACTTGGGTAGCCATCTGTCTTGGAATACAATTCTCTAACTGTATTGATGGTCTTGTAGAATAGTCGGAGGACACCCGTTGTCAGACGTCATCTCCTGTGCTCTGACAAGATAGTGATTTTTTTTTTTTTCCTTTTAAACTGCACAGTCTTCTCCAGACATACACACATGTTTTCAACAGCTGGAGGAAATGGTTACAAAATGCCCTTTCCATCCACTTGGTGAGGGTTGAAAGGTCCGAGAAACTTTCAGATATGACATGCTGCAAGACAGTTGCTGAAGGCATAGGCGTATCTGGAGCTGCACTTGCTAACCAAAAAAGTTCTCTTGGGTGCATATGTACATCCCTGGAGTACACACATGGTCACTGTGTTTCAGAAAGTTGTCAGTTACTCTACTTTTGTTGTTGCGTAGGTAAAGCTGGACATTGAATACTTTCTGCCAGGTTGTAGAACTTTGCACATTGTGATAAACATATCTAAGTTTTGACATGCAAAATTTATCCAGTGTAAAACTGTCTTCTGCATAAAATTTTCAATGCCAATGACTATGCATATGCATTGAGGTCTTAGACTTCTGAGCTTAAGGTGTAAAAGTCTTTTGAAATTAAGATATAGCAAGAAATAATTAAAACCACAAGTGAACTGGAATTATTGACCATTACTGAGTATAGACTGTATTTGATTTCTATATATATCTCATACTAATGTCAGAATTGAATTACAAAACCCCAAAATATTTCATAATTTCAATTTCTAATTATAAAAGAATCTCATAATAGGGTGAAAATTGATGTATTCTTTTCTGCAGGTTCAAATGGACCACAGTTGTTTACAGTTGAGCAGTGGGGTACCCCTGAAAAACTGCCGAGAGCTCATACCTGGTGAGTGTTTAATTTAGGTAAATTATGACCTTTAGTAAGAGTGATAAAATACTTAAGAGTTTTCATCTGTTTTCCAGCTTTAATCGTTTGGATTTGCCTCCGTATGACTCGTTTGAAGATTTATGGGATAAACTTCTTCTAGCGATTGAAAATACTCAGGGTTTTGATGGGGTTGATTAAGACATGGACATAAATTGTATCAGTCCAGTGCTGCAATTTAATTTTAAGGGTTTACAAGCAAATTTGAATTTTCCAGGGACTACCATGTATTTAGTCACATGGCTATTGAATCTTCATACTATCACGTGTAAAATAAGTAAGTATTAAAAATTCACTAACTTTTGAAAATGTATTTTGCCATTTCCACAGTTTTGTGTACTTTGCTAATAACTACAATATACACATTGGATGGGCCAGTGCCAAGTAAGTAAAAAATCTAAAATGTTTTTAAGCAGTTGCCTCTTCTGCAGTGTTTGACAGACTGTCCTGCAGTAAACTACTGAAGTAAAACTGTGAAGAAATCTTTGCAGAGGGTGTAAATTTGAATTGCTGCTTTAACAGGAACAACTGAAATTGTTAAAACTGTTTTTAGAAAAAAACAAAAACAAAACCAACAAACTTAATGTAATGCAATACCATTATCTGTGCTGCTTCAGGCTGTTTACTACAGATCTGCCCAAAGCACCTTATAATTCAGTAAAGGTAAAACATTGGAAAGGATTTGTTTGCATTATCAGCCATCAGTTTGCAGAACATTGACTTGCTGACATGTTTTATTTGTTGGATTTCTGTTTCTAACTTGCTTTTGTTAAAACAGCGTAACAAAACCAGGATTTTTATATAGAACAGGCAAGCAGCATAATTATGAAACGTAATGAGAAATTATATCAATTTTTTGTCTGAATTTATATACTGCCATTGGTTTATTGAGTGTTCATCACTTTTTTGGATAAATTTGTAGTTCAACAAGGGATAATATTTTCAATTCAGCCTTTTGCAACAAATTAATCTTAAAGTGAAGTTTGTATGGATATGACTCAGTATTAGTTACTGGTAGTTAGAGGCCTTTATTATCCATTCTTGCAGTATTGCACTACATAACAATAAAGAACATGTTTACAGGGTTTTCTGGGCCAAATTCAGCAGTCTGATATGTGCACATTTCTCTGAACTGCATGGAGGTTATGCACATGTAACCAGGTGCAGAATTTGGTTCTGTAATATGTTTACAGGTTATGCTAGCTCTGATAGCGGCATTTTTATATTTTTTTTCTCCACTGTTAGTCTAGAAACCAAATTTGTTAATACAGTATAACCAAAGTCATAACCAACAATGTGCAATTTATTGTAGATCAACTTTTCATATAAATATTACTTTTATTTCTTTTGTAAATGTATTTTTTGTAGTAATGTTAACACATTTTTTGAGCAAGTGCTGGTTAAAATGACTATCAAAGTTGGTTCTAAAAGAAAAAATTGATTTATATACCTGACTTGCTCTAGTTTTAACATTTTCTTACCAATATGATCTGAAGAAATGACAGTACCTAGCTTTGGCCAGCGAATTTCTATTTAGTCACAGTCTTTATAAATATGCAAGAAGGAAGTGTAGCACATCCCTCTATAAAGGTATGTAAATTATGTAACAAATGTTATGGGTCTTAAGGGATATTTAAAATCCCACTTTGTTTTATTCTTTGACTAGGTCATTAGGGCTGAGAATATTACATGTAAATAAAGGTAACTTATACAAATTTCCCAAATCTATATGCGGTTTTGTAAAACATGAATGATATATCAGTAAATCTGTATAGATTTGAATGTAGCAGGTTTTGTTGCATACTTTAAAGTATGAAATAAGGATCCTGAAAGCAGTAAATAAAAGTTTATTCTAATAAGTTTTGACTCAGTTCTTTGCAAATTGGTAGTATTGAAATAGCAAGAATTCAGTAATTTTAGTACTCCTAGGTAGACCGGGGCAGCAGTTCCACCACAATACGCTGCTACTTTTGTATAGGTGCTGAGGTGCAGAAGTTCTGTTTCCTAGTGTTCTGCTCCGAAGACACTCAGTCTTTGAAAAAATTAGTAAGATGTTTTTATAAAAGCTCTAGGTTGCTATGAGCCTTCATTGTATGGCCAGCCTAGACACGCTACATGGCAGACAGGCAAAGGTGGAGGCCCTCCAGAAATGCCAGCTGACTGCTGCTTGAGGGAGGGTCAGGCTTCTCAGCCGGTCAGCAGGTGTGCAGCCAACAGATTTCGGTGGGTGATAAGAGTGCAGAGAGTCCCTTCCGTGGGCTTTAAACTAGGTTTGTTGAGGAATGGTGATAACAGCTTGTGGTTAAGAGAGGTCAATGGTGCCAAGTACCGTGGCGTGGTGATGGGAGCAAGGAAGCCTTTGTGGAGGATGCCACGGGCTGAAGGGTCCCACCTCATGTACCTGAACACACTCACAGGCAGCCAGGGAAAGGCCCAGAGGAGCGAGAGGCATGGCTCGTATGGCTGGAGCCACTCCGATGTGGGTGATCTGTGGAGGGGGTGACAGGCTGGGTCTGGGTCAGAGGAGACACCAGCATGGGAAACAGCCTAAAATTGCAAGCCCTGGCTCCTACAGGAGGCTAAACGCCCTGATGTCTGTGGGAAGGGCAGCACAAGGGGATGCAATCCGGGAGGTTTCTGGGGAGGGGGTCATGAACAACTCAACAAGAGGTGAGCTCTCCTGGATCTGCTGCATGTCCCTTTGTACTTGCATTTTCTGCACATCACACCTCCGTGTTCCCTGTAACACATACACTTAGATTTTGGGGCGCAACTCCAGAGGTGCTGCTATGAACACTTACCTTTTTTTTTTCCACCAGGAAAGCTGTTCCTAGTATGGCTCTGTGTGCCAGCTGCAGACCACTTACCGTGGCATTACAGATGACAGTTTAACAGCCGCTTCTTTGCGTGTTAACAACCATCTCTGTTACACTGTGACTTCATTACTCTTAACACCCAGCAGTGCCAGGTGAGGGGTAAGGCAGAAAAATTTCCCAGGTAGGTAAGAGCTAAATGTACCAATCTCTTGGAGAAAAGAGAGCATATAGCGTTGACATTTGGAAAGAGATTTTGTGCAGATCTGGTTAAAAAGCATAGATCTGTGAAGAAACTATCTTTTAAGGGGAGACTTGAGCAAGATGTGAATTCTAGAGCAGGGACTGGACCATAACGTGAGGGAGAAGGTGGCTGCAACAGGAATATTTTCACTTTTCCTGGCTCCTACCAAAAACACAGTGAATTTTCAGTGTGGTTTTCTGGGCAGCTCCAAGCCCAAGAGCTGGAAGCAAAACAGTTCCCTGCCTTTGATTATGGCTTCTGCAATCGGGTAAATACTGATTCAAACCGACGGTAGTAGAATCTGAAAAATACAGCTGAGAGCCTGCCCTGTATTTAATCTTTCTT